CCCCCCCCCCCCCCGCAGTCTGCAGCCTTCCGGGGCGGAGGGAGCCCCGAGGTGCACGCCCCGCAGCTCACCCCGACCCCATGCCTGCTTTGCTAGCCAGGCCCCCCTTCTCCCCTCCCGCAGCCAGTCCAGCTAAACCCTCGGGCCCGGGCTCGAGCCGGTTGGCAGCCACGACCTTTGTTCGCAAGAAGCCCGTGGGGAGGGGGGCTGGGCTGGAGCCTCCTCCGCGGCCCCTGGAGAGTTTCGGAGGCCGGGCTGCTTTGAGACATGTCTGCCCGCGGCTGTGAAACAGCGCCTCCGGCCAGACAATGGGGACATTAGATAAAGTGTTAACTTAATGATTTCCCCCATTGAGACTCGTTTGACTGCCTCCAATCAGCCCGGGCTGCCAGCTACTCCCCTAAATGAGACTCGACAGCTGCTATACACAGCGCGGCGAGGGGACGGGGATTAGGGCAGGGCCGGGAGGGAGGAGGGGGAGGGGAAACTTGGAGGCGAGGAGTACCCCGCGCCAGGGGACCCCCGCGCCCCACCGGTCCCGGGCCCAGGGGGCGCGGGCTGGGCCCGGGCCGGCAGGTCGGGTCTGGGCCGGGCGCGGGGCCCCCGTGATGACGAGCCCTCCTCGCCACCTGCCTGTTGGGTCACCAGTGACCCGGCAAAAAGAGTAGCATGGGAATGCGGGTAGCGCACAATGCGGCGGGGGACTCGCCCCCCGCAGCCTCCCTGCGGCACTTCCCGCACGCGGGGGGGCGGCTCCGCTCCCGGCTCCCGCCGCCGCCCCGCTCCTGCGTTTCTGGCAGGGCCGAGTTTGTGTCTTCTTTCCTCTCTCTCTCCTTGGCCCCCTCCAGGCTCCGTCCACCGGGGCCTCGCGGGCCAGAGCCGGGCAAAGCAACCCGCCGCACTCGGGGCTGACACCTGCCCTTTTTATTCCCCAGACTGACTCCTCTCCTGCAGCTCTGCCCTCGGCATTTGGGGCTCCTTTGCCCCCTGCCCTCCCCCATCGCGCCCTGATCCAGCCGAAGTCTCGTCTTCCCAAGGGCCCGGCGCCGCGGATCCCTCCCGCTTTTCTGCGCGGTTTGTGCCGAGCCGGAGACCCGGCCTCCGCGAGCCAGGCTCGAGACCCCCCAGCCCCGGCCCGAGCCGTACACGGATAGTGATATAGATACATGCGTGTGTGTATCCTTGTATATATATATGTGTGTGTGTGTGTACATATATATATATATATATATATGCGTGTGTGTATCCTTGTATATATGTGTGCGTGTATATATATATATATATGCGTGTGTGTGTGTACATATATATATATATGCGTGTGTGTATCCTTGTATATATGTGTGCGTGTATATATATATATATAAATGTATATATATGCGTGTGTGTTTCCTTGTATATGTGTGTGTGTGTATATATATAGATGCGTGTGTGTGTGTGTATTTTTGGCGAGGACGAGGCTGCGACAGGGCGGCTGGGGGAGGACGGAGGTCCCTGCTGCCCCCGCCCCAGGCAGGCCTGGCCGGGCCGCGCTGCGCCGGAGCTGGGTCCCAGGAGCCGGGCGCGGGGAGCGGGGCTGGCCCGCGAAGCCGTTGTGAACATGCCCCGACAGGGGGTCCCGCGGGGCTCTTTGTGTGTCATAATTGCTTAAAGATATATGGCAGCTTCGATTACTGTAATTACCATCAGGGGCTGTTGAAAGAAGCGGGGCTGGGCTGCGGGGACTGCTGGCCGGGGTCTCGCCGCCACCCAGGCAGGGATCACAGCGGCCCGAGCTCCTGGGAGGGGCCGGGCCGGGCCCGGGGGCTGCGGGACCAACCCCGCCAGCCCTCCCGCGCCCCGGCC